AGGCTGCTTCTTATAATGACCCCTGTAAATTCAGTGCCGCTCCTGCATGTCTTCCTACTATACAGCACTCTGCTTCCGCGCCTGCTGCTCCTGCTTCTCCACTCCCAACCCCTCATCTTCCTGCTTCTCTGCCCCCTTCTGCTCCCCCTTCTTATCATACTCTTCCCCCTTTTCCGCCTGTTGACACTCCCTTGACCTCGCTCCCCTCTCAGATTCAGTCCCTCCGACAGACGTTGATGTTTAAGAAAGAGAAAGCACAGCTGCCTAAGGAACTACGGCTCCTTGATTTGGAACTCGCTGATTGCATCCCTGGCCTGGCTGTTGCTCTCACTGCCCCTACAGTAACCTCCAAACCCAAATCCGAATCCCCTGTTTTGGACCCCCTCCCTTACCCTAAAGATGCAGGGTCTTTACTCCCTAAGAAAAGGAGTCTTTTCTCTTCCTCCCCTGCTTTTCTTTTTCCCATTATTGAGGACAAAACTGCGTCAAGTGACACTGACGAGGAGGGAGAGGAGGCTGCCCCCCGGCAATATAGACGCCTCGGGTATAAGACGCTAAAAACACTAAAAGAGGCAGTCTCTCAGTATGGCCCTGTTGCCCCATTCACCCTCTCCATCCTTGATGCCCTTGATCATTTATGGCTCACTTCTCATGATTGGCTTCACCTTGCCTGCGCCACCCTGAGTGGAGGAAATTTTGTGCTTTGGAAATCTGAATTTAAAGAATTATGTAAGGAAGCGGCCCGCCGTAATCGTGAGGCTGGAGGGGAAAGTGCGGAATGGACTTATGAAATGCTTGTTGGCCTTCCTCCTTTTAATACTAATGAGGCCCAATCTAAGTTTGCTTCCGGAATTTTTGCTCAAATTCAGGCTGCTGCACGAAAGGCGTGGCGGCTGTTACCTCTTAAAGGACCCGCCACGACCTCTATCGCCTCCATCCGCCAGAAGCCTGAGGAGCCTTACGCTGATTTTGTTAGTCGTCTAACTGAAGCTGCGGAAAGACTGTTGGGGCCATCTGAGGGCGACAGTGATTTTGTCAAGCAGCTTGCTTTTGAAAATGCCAATTCTGCCTGTCAGGCCGCCATTCGCCCGCAAAAACGTCAGGGGTCTCTTTCTGATTATATCTGTCTCTGCCAGGATATTGGCTCCAGTCGCCAAATTGGCGCCGCTATAGGTGCCGCGTTACAGGATGCCTTTGCCGGGGCTGTTGCTGCTGCCCCCCCCCAACGCCTCTCCTAAATGTTTTAATTGCGGCACTCCTGGTCATTTTGCTAGAAATTGCCCAAACGCCAGGCAAGGCCGTGTTGGTCACCCTGGCCTCTGTCCCCGATGTAAGAAGGGTCGTCACTGGGCCTCTCAGTGCCGCTCTAAAACTTCCGCTGAGGGCCTCCCGTTGCCGCCGCAGGGAAACTTCCTCCGGGGCCAGCCCCAGGCCCCTCTCATCCCCTCACAGGCCGGCCCTGGGGCCGCTCGGCTGGCCGTGTCTCAATCTCTGATCTCTCCCGAGCAACCCCTGGCAGCGCCGGACTGGACCTCCGTTCCTCCTCCACCACAGTATTAAGTGCAGACCAGGGACCTCAGGTCCTTGGTACTGGGGTATTCGGTCCCTGCCCTCCGGGGCTCTTTGCCCTTCTCCTTGGGAGAGCCTCCTCTACGATCTCTGATCTTTTTGTACATCCAGGAGTAATTGATAATGACTGTACTGGTGAGATCAAGGTGATAGTTTCTACCGCCTCTGTTGTTCCAAAAACCATTCTGGCAGGTACGCGCCTGGCGCAGCTTCTTTTGCTTCCTCTTGATAATTCCGTGGGTTCTTCCCAGAGGCCTTCCCCTTGTGGCCTGCGCGGCTTCGGCTCCTCCGATGCCTTTTGGGTTCAGCCTGTTCTCCCCCAAAAGGCCCTGCTTCTCCTAAAGATTGAGGGCAAACAGTTTGAAGGGATTGTGGATACTGGTGCTGATGCCACCGTTCTTAGGAAGAAGTCCTGGCCTGCTTCCTGGCCTTTAGTTTCTGCCCTTACTAACCTTAAAGGCATAGGCCAGGCAGTAGATCCTGAGCAGAGTGCCAAATTTTTGACCTGGTTGGATGCTGAGAATAACACTGGTCTTGTGAAACCTTATGTTATTCCTGGCCTTCCCTTTAACCTCTGGGGCCAGGATATTCTCTCACAGATGGGAATGGTTATGTGCAGTCCGAGTGATCTTGTTACCTCCCAGATGCTGAGGCAGGGTTTCCTACCTGGCCAAGGTCTTGGAAAAAACTCACAGGGCATTCGTTCTCCCATTGAGGCCTCTCCTCGCCCTGAAAGATTAGGTCTGGGAAATTTATTCTGATGGCCTCTGATATTCCTGCACCCCACGCAGACCGTATCCTATGGAAGGATGACGTGCCCGTGTGGGTTGATCAGTGGCCACTTCCAAGGGAGAAGCTTGAGGCTGCCGAGGAGCTAGTGCGGGAGCAATTCCTCGCTGGCCGGATTGAATATAGCGATTCCCCTTGGAATACCCCTATTTTCGTTAACAAAAAGAAATCGGGAAAATGGAGTCTCTTGCAGGACCTTCGCGCTGTTAACCGAACCATGATCATCAAAGGCTCCCTTCAACCTGGTCTGCCCTCCCCTGTGGCAATCCCCAGCTCATTTTTTAAAATCATTATTGACCTTAAGGATGCCTTTTTCTCTATTCCTTTGCACCCTGCTGACCGTGCTCGTTTTGCTTTTAGTTTGCCTTCTGTGAATTTTCAGAGCCCAATGAAACGCTTTCAGTGGAAAGTGCTCCCCCAAGGAATGGCTAATAGCCCTACACTCTGCCAAAAGTTTGTGGCTGCGGCTATTCAGCCCGCTCGTGATCGTTGGCCCTCCCTTTATATCCTCCACTATATGGACGATATATTAATCGCTAGCCCCGAGTCACAATCCCTCTCCCATTGCTTTGCTTTTCTCTCGCAAAACCTTGCTGAATGGGGTCTGCAGGTCTCCCCCGAGAAAATCCAAGTCACGGACCCTTATACATACCTCGGTTTTGAGCTCTGTGGTTCCCTAGTTAGGCCTTCTAACCTGAAATTGAGAACTAGTCATTTAAGAACTCTTAATGATTTCCAAAAGTTGTTAGGGGATGTTAATTGGATCCGCCCCTATCTCCGTCTTACTACAGGTGATTTGAAACCTCTGTTTGATATTTTAAGGGGGGACCCAGACCCCCGATCACCTAGACAGTTAGCTCCTGAAGGCAAAAAGGCTTTAGACTTAATCACACAAGCCATTCAAGGCCAATTTGTGTCAGCCCTGAATTATTCCCTTCCATTCCTTTTTATTGTCTGTGCCACTTCACACACACCCACGGGAGTCTTTTGGCAGGTGGCCTCTCCCCTTCTCTGGGTTCATCTTCCCTCCTCCTCGTCCGAGGTTGTTGTTCCTTATTATAATCTAGTAGCAGAACTCATTATTCAAGCCCGAGATACCAGTGTTAAGATCTTTGGTCAGGAGCCTCACTCTATCATTCTACCTTATGCAAAGGCGGAGGTTGATTGGCTTTTTCGTACCTCTGACCTTTGGCCTATAGCGCTTTCCTCATTTCCCGGAAATATAGATAATCATTATCCTGCTCATAAAATGTTACATTTTATTCACTCACACCCCTTTGTCTTCCCTAAATTAACTTTTACGGAGCCTTTAGTAGGGGCCCTTACAGTTTTTACTGATGGCTCCTCATCTGGGACCGCTGCACATTCATGCAATGGCATGGCTACCCCTCTGTCCACACCCTATCGCTCTGCCCAGTTAGTGGAATTGTTTGCTGTTTCTGTAGTCCTCCGAACTTTTCCTTCCACTCCTTTGAACATTTATACAGATAGTGCATATGTGGCCCACTCTGTCCCCTTATTAGAAACAGCCTCCCATCTAAAACCTAACTCCTCTGCAATTCAGCTATTTCTCTCAGTACAGTCTGCCATCCGTGCTAGGGCTGCCCCTTTTTTTCTTGGCCATCTGCGGGCACATTCAGGTCTCCCTGGTCCCTTGTCAGAAGGTAATGACCTCGCTGACCACGCCACCCGTATGCCTATTGCGGCTTTTTATCTGTGCCCTGTGGATAGGGCCACTCATGCCCACTCCCTTCATCATCTTAAGTCTACCACCCTTAGACTTTTGTTCAAAATCACTAGTGAACAAGCTCGACAGATTGTTAAGCAATGTTCCTCATGTGTGACCCTTCTCCCCACCCCCCATTTAGGAGTGAACCCCCGTGGCTTAATTCCTAACGCCCTATGGCAAATGGATGTGACTCATGTTTCTGATTTTGGTCATTTAAAATATATGCATGTCTCCATCGATACTCACAGCGGCTTTCTCTCTGCCACATTGCAGAGCGGTGAGGCCTGCCGCCACGTGATAGCTCATGTCCTCTCTTGCCTCACTGTTATGGGCAAGCCCGAGTCTATTAAAACCGATAATGGGCCTGGCTACGCTGGCACAGCTTTTCGCTCCTTCTGTGCCACCCTTGGTATCTCTCATGTCACAGGCATTCCTTATAATCCTCAAGGGCAAGGTATTGTGGAACGGGCCCATCAAACCTTAAAAAACACTATTACCAAACTTCGAAGAGGGGCATTCTACCCGGTCAAAGGATCCCCTCGGAACCTGGTCAGCCATGCTCTTTTCATATTAAATTTTCTTCAATTGGACAATACTGGCAAATCAGCGGCTGATAGGTTTTGGCACCCCGAATCCCAGCACAATTATGCCAAAGTACTGTGGAAAGATCCCCTTACTAACCAGTGGCAGGGTCCCGACCCTGTTCTTATTTGGGGTCGGGGTTCGGTCTGTATATATATTAAAGAAAAACAATCTGCTCGCTGGCTTCCTGAGAGGCTTGTAAAGCAAGTTGATTCCTGTGAAATGGCTTCTCCGCCTCCAGTTAACCTTCCTTCCAGGGAGGACAAACCTCTCTGAGAAATATTTCTTTTCTTTATCTACAGGAAATGCTTGGAAAATGATCACCCCTACGCTGGTACCTCCTGGCTGTCCTGAGGGTCTGCCTTGCTGGTTTTGACGCCCCGGCCGGCAACGATCTCCTCGCCTCCCTTTTTGGGCCACCCTGTGACTGCCGTGGAGGGTATACACGGGTAACACCGCAGTGGTTCTCTTACTCCAACGACTGCAATGAATACACCGCCTATCTCACCTATCGACCATCCACCGGTGGGGGATTTAAGCAACGGTGGGAGTGTGTTGCCAAACCCCGAGTCATTCCCTCTCTGCCTGGGTCCCCTGGTCGCTGCCCCTCCCCCTGTCGCTACTATCAAGCTATTCATTCCCTTTGCTATAACAGCGTCCAGCAGTGTTCTTCTAATAATAAGGTTTATTTGACGGCAGTTCTACAGCAAGCCTATGCAGGAACCTTTGGTGGGGAAACCTCCGCCACTCTCCAGGGACATACTAACAAATATGCCCAGGCGTCTTGTTCGTCTGCCGATGTTGGCCACGATGTCTGTTGGCCCGAACGTGCACCCCTACATGTATCAGACGGAGGGGGCCCTTCTGACAGAGCCAGAGAACATGAGGTCCAGCAGCACATTGAGGAACTCATTCGGGCCCAATTCCCCTCCCTCCATTATCATCCTCTTGCGCGTCCCGGCCTCACAGATTGAGTCTCGATAGTCAGACGTCTGTCATTTTGGAATCCACTCACCTTATGCTAAATAAGACCAATCCTGTGTTGGCTGCGGACTGCTGGCTTTGCTTGCCCCTCAGTTCTCCCATTCCTATGGCGTTACCCCCCCTTGGTAACCTTGCTCCTGCTGAAAATCCTTCCCTTCCGGTAAATTGTTCCCTAGGCCCCCCTTTTAGGATTCAACCGATCCCTTTGAATCAGTCACTCTTTGTAGCCCCCTGCTTTGAGGGTACCACTCCCAATGCCTCTGTCTCCATTGATGTGGGTTTTCTCCCTCATGTGAATTGTTCCTCTGTCCTTCGTACTAGCAGTTTCCTGTGTCCCCCTCTAGGCCATGTTTTTCTCTGCGGAGGGAATATGGCATTCCCAGCGTTGCCCGTAAATTGGACTGGTTATTGCTCCATTGCCTCCGTTCTACCTGAGATGGATATTGTTCCAGGGAATGAGCCTGTTCCGGTTCCCAGCCTCGACTTTATGGCTGGAAGACATAAAAGGGCCATATTTGCTATTCCCTTGCTTGTTGGCTTGGGCATTACGGGAGCCCTTGCGACAGGGTCTGGGGGCTTGGGAGTCGCCATACACTCCTATAATAAACTCTCTGCACAGCTCATTGATGATATCCAAACCTTATCAGGAACTATTAGTGATCTCCAGGACCAGATCAACTCTCTAGCCGAGGTGGTCTTGCAGAACAGAAGGGGGTTGGATCTCTTGACAGCCGAACAAGGGGGTATATGCTTGGCCTTACAGGAGAAATGTTGCTTCTATGCTAATAAGTCCGGTGTAGTCCGGGACAAGATAAAGAAATTACAGGATGATCTGGTCAAGCGTCGGAGAGAACTGTTTGAAAATCCTTTTTTAAGTAATCTTCATGGCTTTCTTCCTTATATTTTACCTCTTGTAGGGCCTATATTTGTGTTTTTATTAGCTCTAACCTTCGGTCCTTGGGTGTTCCAGAAGATCACCTCCTATGTCAAACAACAGCTGGACAAGGCCTTGTCCAAACCTATTCAGGTCCATTATTGTCGGCTGGATACTGGCGACCCTGATCTTTATACTGACATTGGCCGGTCCCAAGGATTAGTCTGAGCACTGGTTTGGTTAGCCAATGACGGGTAAGATCCCCCTGAGGGGAGTCTGACCTAAGCCAGGGGCGTTGCCTTGCATATTGCCCCCATGACGGGCAACAGTCTCCCACTCCTCGGGACAACCTAAGACAGGCACAAACCCCTCTGCTAAACCTTCCCTCTTAAGGAAAGAAAAGGGGGACATGTAAGGGACCACAGGCCCAGTATGACCTCTGGAAAATTACTAGGTTGCAGTTGTCAAGGCCTCCTTGTGGTAAGAACAAATTACTACCTCTTCCTGGAATACCCCTATACCTTTGGT